TATATATATATACACTCAACAGCTGTTGATCTCGTATTTATAAAAAAGATGTTGACATTCTTTAAAATTCGCTCATTGGTAAGTCCAAACTTAACGACAACTTAATAGCCTTTAACTGATGGTTGTAACTATCTCAAGGTTGATCCATCCACTCACCCAATGTCTGGGCTCTTAGATGGGTCGGTAGTTATTCTTCTTGACAAATGGGCTCTTTGATAGGTCATCATAATTTATCACGCCATATCCTATGACATGGTAATATTTCATATAATATTTAGTTAATATATCATTTCTGCTTATCATGAAGTAATTGAACCTCACTAATCAAATTTTTCGACTCACATGCCACATTTATGTTTTTCTCTTCGTGTTCTTTCCACTTCCATGCAAAGAGAAAATTGAGGTTTAACAGAATGGTTTATAACCCTTCTATTTTTAGGTTAATGTGAGAGCTAAAACCTTTGCTTCATTTATCATTGTGTAGCCTTTGTTAACATGAAGACCTAGTTTATTTTCTTTGCTTCACTATAATACACGTCCTCCTAACTTCCCAAGGTTAGCATCCTGATCTTCCAAAGGTTAGCATTTTGATCTCAACAAATAATTTCTCATGAGTGATCCTTTAAGTAGTTAAATGCTAAACAAAATTCTCATACCAACTACCATTAACGAATAATCAAAGCCCCGAGAGTTACCAACAACACTCTCTTCTCACCAACCTCATCATGTTATGCTGAGACCAGTAAAAGCGCCAATGAATCATGATTGTTAATATTGTAAAAAAGATAACATCCAAGCACATTTTCTTATCATCACTGAGTTGTAAGCTCAATAGAAATTCTATGAATTTTTTTTCATTGCATGCCAAAGAAGGATTAGTATGCCTTTACCTAGACACTAAGTTTTATATAGGTGTAGCAGTATAAAACTCGGTGTCAAGTCTTTAGATCCACTTAGGCTATTATAATTTTTTTTTTGCAAAAAGTTTAGTCTTTTCCAATAACTCACTAATCAAGGTTTTGGTCCTTTTCGCATAGCTGATTTTCACTTGCATTAATTGGATTCCTTTGATACAGCCCCCTTAGCAAGATAAGTTACCATATCCAAAAAAAAAAAAAACCTTTCTACTAGGAATTAACACTTTCCTGTCATCCTATAAACAAGCTCCTGTGATAGCTATTAAGTGTTTCATCATTGACATTTATAAATATTCATTGTGATCTATTCTCTACTATATCTATTAATATCATCTCGGTACTATCTTATATTGACTTAAGATAGATAACACAAAATTCATTGGCTTTAGTGTTGTTGGCTTTAGTCCCACTTATCCACCCACCTACTTTAGAGATGATAGTTATTTAAGCTCTAGTACCCAAAATTGTTGTGAATCCAACGAAAATTATGTAAGTATACATATCGCTCATGTAATATATAAATGGGTGGTGAGAGCAGTTGCTGCCCTTGGATTGATTCCGACGACTGTCGATTTTGGCGGGGATCAACGATCATGATTTTCCCAATGGTTGGAGTTTCTATGGATCACCAGCAATGAAATAGTGCATCAACTCGCAGGTGAATCCCAGGAAGAAAGCCACGAATTTTTGGTGTTGCTTAGGGCGTGGCCACGACAACATCAGGGGTGACCATGCCTGGAAACATTTTGGGATGGCTATGCCCAAATATAGCGTGACCATGCCTAGGAAATTTTAACCATGGTTATGCCCAAACCGGCATGGTCATGCCCAAACCAGCATGGTCACGCCAGTCCAAGGGTAGCAGGACACATGAGCATGCTCACACATGAAGAAGCGCATGGGCACGTGCGGGCGCACACGAGCCTATGCGCAGTCGTGTTTGCACCCTCATGGGCATGCGAGCTCTTGTGTGGGTTCGAGCATGAGCGTGAGGAGTGTGTACAGGTGATCTTGATCAAAAAGACAACATTGGCTCACCCTAGCAGAGTAAAACTCAAGGATTTCAATTATAGGGTGGATTTAGGCTAAAATGACTTCAAGGTAAGTTAGTTGAGGTTAAAGTGTCAATCCAACCGCACTAAAATTGAAGTTCTTGATGATAGCTCAAATGAACTTCAAACTGGTCAATTTTGATGCTCTTAAATTTGTTAGAATAAATTTTGTATTTGAGTTTATTTTGAGTTTGAATGAAGGGTTTCCCAAAAGTAAGGTTAACAGGTAGCCTCATCATCTCCTCCAAGTATGATAACATGACATCCATAATATTGATCGACTAAACCTGAGTAGGTTCGTTGATGTTTCTTTTGGCTGGTGCCTTTCCCTATCACTATGTCATTACCTTGAGCAATGCAAACTCTTTAACTTCCTAGCTATGATTAGCTTTTCAATAGAATTTTGGAGGTATCAACATTCTTCTATATTTGTGATTAATGTGTGATGCACAAAATTTCTTTGGATCTCAGCGATATCCTTCCATCTTCATTGGTGATACATTTTTTAAGGAATAGTTTATACTAAATTACTTCTAATACTTCAACCATAGAGATAGAAGTAGTGTGGGTCGAGGAAGTTTGTGGGTTTGTGGTGGTTGCCTCCTTTTGTAGCATTGGTTGGCTTGTCACATGAGATACGATCGGTGACCCTTTTCTAGCAATAAGGGGAGAATCATATTGTTCGACAGATATATAGTCGTTAGCAAGTTTTAGCAGTTCAACCAATGTCTTGGGCTACTACAAGCATAAAGAGAAGCGTAATGGGGCTTTCATGTCCTTGTGCCAGTGTGGCATGAGCGATCATAGGTTCAAGGTGTCAAACATCTAGGTTTTTCCTTAGAAGTGGGTTCTGAACCCTCACAAGGATTCACGTTGTCCTTGGCGCAGTTGTAGAAGAGCTTTACAAATTCTCTGGGCCTTTTGTGAGCTAGAAAATTTAGTTACGAACATTCTCATGGAATTTGTGTATGAGGTAAAAACTCTTGTTTGTAGACCGTTGAGCCAATAGAAAGCGGGCTCACTAAGTGTCGTGAAGATTAGGTTACACTAGAGTGCATTGCTTTTTCTCAATAAACATACAATCAACTCAAAATAGGCAATGTGGTCGGTCATATCCAAACATCTCCAATAGAAGTCTAAGGTTGGGACCTTAAAATGCTTCCAGGGCTCAAGTTCAAATATTTGTCAGGAGAAAGCATTTTTCGGTGGTATGAGTGGGGGTGCTTCTACATGTTCATATCTCCGATGGTCGAGTGGCACATAACCCATGTCGTCCGGGTTGTTTGTGTCTTGATCTGCTTTGGGGGTTCTTTCATTGTATAAGGTTGTCGTCATTCGCGGGTGACAGGATGTTGCTAGTTTTTGCAGCTACACTCTCTCAGTGGTTAGAGTGTTTGTGATTACCTCTATCATGTGCTCTTTGAGATTGTTGATATGTTGAGTCACAAATTGATGGGTCGAGGAGATGCTATTGATTATTTCCTGAGGTTGGGGTTTTTCTCATTGAATTACACCTTATTTTATTTGCATCATGATTCGCGCTCATGCACCTTTCTGGTTGTTGAACTCAAATCTGTCTGTGAATCACACCTAAAAAGTAGAACATAAGGAGAACTAAAAGAAAGAAAATACAAAAAGCAAGAATCTCGGGAAAGGAAAATTAATAATCCTCTCTTGGCCTTTCAAAAAAGTCCCCATTTACTCTTTATTGTTTCTATATTTATAGTAAATAAAATTTACATTATAAATGTCGATAATGCTCTTAAGTTCTTTATTGTATGTCATTTTTAGTAACTATCAAAATTGCCATTATTTTCATCAAACCATTTCTTATCAGATCGTCATTTCGCTCACTTCTATGCTAACGAGTGTTCATTTGCTTATTCGATTGACTTTCTTGCCTTGATCGACCATATAATTTCTCTGTGGTGGTTCGAAGCTCATTATGCTCACTGGGGTTGATTCTTCGACAA